AACCACCCATACTTCAGTCAGTACTACATATTCTTAGCAATTGATTCAGCGTAGTGAAATAACCATATACATAATAAACATTATTATTATTATTATTATTATTATTATTATTATAGGGAGCCGGGATAGCTCAGTTGGTATAGCAGCGAATTACGGCCGAGTTTCAATTCGCGGCAGGTGCAAGATATTTTTTTCTGCACAGTGTTCAGATCGCATCCCATAGAATTGGTACCAGGGGCACATTTTCCGGGGGTAAAGCGGCTGGGATGTGAAGCTGGCCACTCAACTCCATCTAGCGACGAAGTCAAGTGTGGTGGAGCTGCACTACCACCTTTCCATACGTCTTCATGGCTGGGTCATAACGAACTAAGGACAGGGACAGTTTTAACTTTTTTCCCCCACCGTGATTACTGTTATTTTTGCTGAAGAAGAAGAAGAATCGAGGCATTATCTGTTGCGGGAGAAATTCAACTCCCAAAATTCAGATTAAATTGCCATAAGTTTGAAGAACATGGTCTTCTGAGCTGCAACGCCGTGTAGTTAGAGGGAAGCGTGACTTTTCTTCAGGGTCCGTTTAAACTGCTGGGTTGGTTCGTGTGGTGTGTAGACCATCGCGAATAAGCAGCGGGTTAGAGGCTTTAAGTTCATTCATTCAGCAAGAAGACCATTTAATAATCACCAACACGACTACAGTGTAAGGAATTAGTAGTTTAGTTATATACTATCTTAAAACATACTGCGCATTATTGCTAGCCGCTTGGCGTTTGTATAACTTACCTAGTTGGAAGAAGCTGTTGTTAAATGGCCATGAATCGGGCAGGAACGTTACTTTGGTGACTTGCTCATGTGTTGGAAGGTGATTTGTGGTTGCCGTTGATGGGCAGTCAGTGAGCAGTAAACGGCGTGTAACTTTGCTCTGGCAACATAATTTAATCACGTTGACACTGGTTACTATAGCGACGGGACTAGGGAAACCTGGTACGAGTGTCTCATTATGTAATATATTTATTTCAATTCATGTCAGTTCTATGTTTATTTGCTTGCTTACTCACCGGCCCGAAGACCAGTTAAGTAAGCAGTAGCAAAGAAAGGAAACAAAGCACACGCATGCACATATAAAGTACAAAACAAGGCAATTTGTATCATTTGGAGAATAATTAAAATTCCATTAGTGCAGTGACGCCAAACGTTGAGCAGTGAAAAAATATACGATTATGTAGTATATTAATATTGACTGTATTTTAATAATTAAGACGGTAAAGGTAAAATTGTCCCTGTGCTTAACTAATTAAGCACTACGCCATGAAGGCGTATGGGGAGGGGATATATACATCCACATTTTCTTGACCTCGACACTAGCTGGAGGTGAGTGGTCAGCTTCACGCCTTTGCCGCTTTATCCCCGGGGAAATAGCCCCCGGTACCCATTGAATAGGAGGCTGGGAAGGCCCAAAAACCATTCTGGACGATATGGAGAAAAGGAGATTCTGACCCTACCGGGACTCGAACTCCGATCCCTCTGTCGTCTGTCCCGTAGTCAGTCGCTATACCAACTGCGCTGTCCGAGCTCAAAAATAGGAGAGTTGCTTTCACAGATTTGTCTCTCTCAGAACATATATATATATATATAAGAAGTATGTTTTACGTTTCAGAACTGTAATCCACTCGAAGATTACTTTTCTACATAATCGTCCTTTACAGTGAGACATTTATCCAACTGGCACGCTAGTTTTTTGATGTCATGTTGGATAAACTGTATGCGTTATGCCTGGAATTATACCCTTGTTGCTTTCATGTCCTCAAGAATCTGGTTTGAATCAACGGCCCGCACTTGGTGCCAGATTGGGATGGTTTATTTTGCCGCATTCGCTGTTGAGATCGAAATGAAGCCGGGTCTGAATTTCGTGAAAGTAAATTTCCGAACCGTCCTTGTGTATTCCATTGATATTTATAGTTCTGATCATGAAATTAGTCCACAGACTACCTTGAGTACAGCGGGTTACGCGTGAACCTCTGGCCGCTCATTGCACACCACTGCAAGCCATTAATGAGTCTTAGAATGCAAGATGACAGCCTCATCACGGGGTTTATTTTTGGAGACAAGATGTAGCCCCGGGTATAATTCGATTCATAGGTTACAGAACAAAATATGAGCTTTCTTGACGGGGGCTGCAGTGTTTAAAATCAGTTAACCTCATCTCAAAATTTTACTGTGTACTGCCCTCCATTACTTGTAGGAATGCAGGGAAACATCTCAGTTTATGATGCATAACGCTTTCTTACACATAGAGTAGTTGCTTACATCGGTCCATGAATTCAGTCAGGTAAATCGCTGCTGATCCCCGCCGTTATGGTCATTATCACACGTATTTCGGAGTCCCGCAGGACAAATGACCATATTTTACTGTCTCATGACTTTGGGAGTCTTGCACGGTCTTGCAACTCCGTCTCATGACTTCAGAAGAATTCCCCACATACGATACCCATGTCCGTGATGTTTGGCCTTTATGTACTGTAATTGGCAGTTTGTTGCTATGGACCAGATATATAGCTCGGGATATAGAAAATATGAAGCTTTACTATGATTTTTTTCGGGGTAGGAAACCCCAGAAAAAGAACTGCATGGAAGACAGAGACTGCGATGGGAAAATGATAATGAAATGGAAATAGAGAATAATTTTTCAGGTGAATTGGATTTAATTGGCGCAGGGTATTTTACAGTATCGCACATACAAAAAAGAAACTCCGTGGCTTGTAGTCTGCAAGCGGACTATACCGAGCGAGCGACCGCCACTTGTCGGCGAAGTTAGTGCCAACTTTAGCGGATAGAACTTGTCGCGTGGTCAGCGCAACGAATCCCCGCGGCCGTAAATATCAATTTTCTAGACCGGAGTCGCTGTTTCCTTGAAATATCAGTTATCCTCACGAGGCTGAGTGAACCCCGTTTTAGACCCACTACTCAGAAAATCTGGTAGCGCCGGAAATGGAACCCGGGTTCTCTGAATCTGTAGCCAGGAACTCTGACCACTATACCACAGAGGCGGTTGTATCTCACGTACAGTGGAGAGTATTTTATTACGTCTGTGATGAACGTCTTGATTCTAATACTGTGTTGGTTTTATGTTAATTTTTCTTCATAGGTTATATCTGCGTGCATGTCGTGATGAAAGGTATTAGGAACGTAACATGCGTCTCGCAAGCCTAATGGGCCTTTGCGAAGAGTGTTGGGGTATCCCTGGACTGGGCTAATGTGGCTCGTCGCTTAATGGTCGGTACAAATTTAAACATCCGTTCCAAGTTGTACGGATGACAACGATTTATTTAAAAGGCACAGCGGCATCTGGGTTAATAGAGCAGAAAGAGTCAACAGAAGGGCCAGACACTTGTTTATGTTCTTTGCGGCCCCCAAGTTTAAGCTTCTTAATCCGAGTGAAATATTTGATTAATTTCTTCTAAGCATAATTTCTGAAACTGAATGTTGTAGGATCGACAGTATGTGGCTTATATAGCGTAGAATCGATGTCGTAGATGACCTGTTGTTTTTTTTTTATCGCTAGTGTGGTGGGACTAAGTCCCTTGTACTGCGGCCACTTCTGGCCTATTGTACCAGTCCCAGATGATAGGTGAGGGCGATTGTGGAGTAATTGGTGGAATGAAGATTGGCAGGGGAAACCGAAGTACTCGGAGAAAACCTGCCCCAGCAATACTTTGTCCACCACAAATCCCACTTGACGAGACCCGAGATCGAACCCGGGCCGCCGCGGTGGGAAGCGAGCGACTAACCGCTTTAACTATGGCGCGGCCTGAACTGTTGTTAGTAAGGGAGGAGAAGTTAGCATTTGTCACCTGTTTTCAAAATGTCCCGACACTTGGCTGAAGTGACCGAGGAAAGTGATAGGAAACCTCAGTGAGATTCACTGGTCTATGGGCCAATATTCATATGCGAAACTTCCTGAATTCGACGTTCTGTTTTAAAACAAGGTGGCAGAGATGGTATGCTGCATAAATTATGAAGGTTACTGTCGTTTGGTGTAGGGACACATGATAGTGTATTTGGATGGGGCACTCTGCTACAAGCCGGAAGGTCGCGGGTTCGATTTCCAATGATGTCATTGAATTTTTCAATTGACCAAATTCTTCTCTGTGGTCCACTCGGCCTGTAACAGAAGTGAGTACCAGGAACCTTCCTGGGGGTAAAGGGCGGTCGGCGCTTAAGACTGACAACTTCGCAATTTGTGTACCGATTGTTTAGCGAGTGTGGGAGCCTCGACGTCTCACAACGCTATGGGCCTCCACGGCTTTTTACGTGGATAGCTGTACCTCTTATTTACAGAAGCTGTGTACATTTTAATGTATGTGTGGAAAAACAAAAAGAACGCCGTGAAGTAAAACTGGAAAGGGCACACAAATTACCGTATTTACGCATGTATAGGCCGCACATTTTTTGCCAAAAATTCAAGAGGAAAACTGGGGTGCGGCTTATATTCGAAATATTTGAAATCACACTTCATTTAAAAAAAATTATATTCA